TTTTGCCCAGGTTATACATTTCGTTAATGATAGTGGTTTGATCCACCATGGTAGAGCATGAACAAGGATACATGCTTTGCGTGTGCATCAACAAGATGAAAGGTCTAATTAAATGGGTGTTGCATGCATGTGAATGGGATTTAAGCAGTCCCAGATCTGTACATGGCAATCAACTGCTGGCAAAAAAAAGCCCATTTCTTTTTTCATGCTGGATTGCAGGCTCTGCTTCAGAATTTATTGTGCCAAAATTCTTATTTAAATATTAAGAGCAACATGCTGTGTACGTTCCACAATTACAGATGTATGAAAAGCTCAAGGGTGGATAAATCTGAGTAAAAGGAAGTTTATGTCTATTTTGCTTTAAACTAGCAGATTGAAGCTGCAAATGAAATATATCAGGTGGCATTAATATCAGCATTATTTTATTGAGACTGATGTTTTTCAAGTTTATGTGAATGCAGTTAATATACACACAAAGCATGTATCCTTGTTCATGCTCTACCATGGTGGATCAAACCACTATCATTAACGAAGTGTATAACCTGACATGTAGTAAATCCCATTAAAAACATTTGTAGTTTAGTGTTGCCTTCTCACAAAAGATTTTTATCATAGGTTTGTGATCTAAAGGTGGTACCTTGCTGTAGTCAAATGCCCAACTGTCACAATCAGGTTGTTTCAGAAGTTATCATTTGCTTCCTTGTATCTTAAACACAGAAAACAGATGACCTAAGTACTTTGATTTGAAATCCCAGATTTACCAGCCATGATTATTTTTATAAATGCAGTGAATATTTTTGCTACATCTTTAAAACTTGTAAGAAATAAGAGGTCCATGGAATTCATTATAGTTCTTCCAACTGCCGTATATCAGTTGCAGATTCTCAATTTATAGTAGCCTTTATATTTTGACTGGGAACATTTCTAAAATATGGGTTTGTTTACATACCAGTATAATGGCTAATCTATTCCATTTACAAGACCTCTTGTTGAAAATAATGCTAATATTAAAAACTATATTCCTAGTACAGTCAAGGGTGGCATACAATAACTAAATGAACTGTTTACAGAACCTTGATAAAAGAATTTTAAAGAATTCTGTACAGCAAAAAGAAAGCACCTGTAATTGAGAAACTATTGAAATAATATGGTACAAAATTATTCTAATAAAGCTATAGTACTGGTACCTAGCCAGCTTAGATCAATGAAAACTTTAAAAAACAGCATTTGCAATTGCTGTTTTTAACATGTATAAAAGAAATACACAAGGGTGGAAAGCTGTTTGTAGCTAATAGTTCAATTATAATATTGTATTAATAAGTATCAGACCAAGGAAGTCCAAATTTAAATCACTCACCCATGAAATTGAGTCAATTATTGGTTGGGTTCTCTTTGTTTAATCATGATTTGTTGGTTAAAACATGGTTCTAAAATCTAACAATAAACCATACTTTGCAAACTACAATGGCTGTGTAAGCACCTAGACCTCAATCTAATCTGCCTCACTAAGTTACTGCAAGGATAAAATAAGTGGAATAAGGGTATAGCAGCCATTTTAAATTTCTTACGGGAACAGTATTATAAAAATAAGATGAATAAATATATTGTTAGTGGACTTGTCTATAATAAGAACAGAATTTTTTAAAAAATTCTTGAAACACTGTAGAAACCCAGGCTGCAGTTTACAGTGGTGGCATGTAGCCATGTAGTCAGTATTTTAAAGCATTGTTATTTGCACTAGTCCAGTTATGAGTACTTAAGCTGAATACCCAGGAGAAAGTGTCTCATCTGTCTAGACCTCAGCTACAGAGAAGAGAAAGTCCACTATGTTAAGCTGCTATTTTTATTGTGACTCAATTAACAAAATGTAAAACAGAAGGAGCATCATTTGTGTACCATACAGAAGGCCTGTCCAATACTCACAGTGCACATGTAATAGTCTCTGTATGTTCATTAAATCTGGTAATTTCAAGATGAGGTTTGGGGGGTACATTTTCTTATGTGGATTATTTCACGATCATTCTATTCTGTCTTTTAGAGACTGAAATCATCTAAAATTGTTTATTTTATCTGATCTATAGCCTGCTTTTTACTCTGGTGAGTACTCAAGGCAGCTAACAAAATTTAAACAGAAGAACAAATTATTAAAAATACAGATTAAACACAAAAAAACAATCCCCCCTAAAATAATCAGAACAATTTTACTTGAACATTTATATGATACTTTTTTGATTATGTGCCATCAAATTGTTTTCAACTCCTAGCGACCCCATAGATAGATTTTCTTCAAGATGATCTATCCCTAACCTGTTCTTTCAAGTCTCCCAATGGTGCACTCATCTCCACTGTAACTGAGTCCATCTACCTTGCTCCTGGTCGGCCTCTTCTTCTCTTTCCTTCCACCTTTCACAGCATTAGAGCTTTTTCCAGAGAGCTGGGTCTTCGCATAATGTGTCTGAAGCAAGCTAATTTGAGCCTGGTCTTTTATGTCTTGAATGAGAATTCTGGGTTGATTTGTTTGATGATCCATTGGTTTGTTTTCTTGGCTGTCCACGGTATTCTCAGGAGTCTTCTCCAACACCAAAGTTCAAAAGTGTCAATACGCTTGCTATCCTGCTTCTTCAAAGTCCAAATTTTGCTTCCATGGAGTATCACAGGGAATATCATTGACTGCACTATCCTGATCTTTGTAGGTATAGACACATCACAGCATCTGATGATCTTTTCCAAGGTCTTCATGGCTGCTCTACCAAGTGCTAAACTGTGGTGTGTTTCTTGATTGCTTGTTGCTTTATTATTGATGGTTGATCCTAAAAGGCAGAAGTTATATACCACTTTCATATCTTCATTGTTCATTCTAAGGCTGGTTATTCTATCTGTTGTCTTAGTTTGGTTTTCATTATAGTTCATTTTAATCCTATGACTGTACAGTTGAAGCTTCACTGCTTTTTTACATGCGTTGAACCCTCTACAGATGCCCCTGCTTCCTTCCTCATACATCCCTCATCTCTAGTTTTCCATATATCATAAACTCTAGTTTGCTGTTATTTACACATATTCATAGTATGTATGCAGGATTCAAAGGGACATCTAATGGCAAGTGTTTATGTGTTCATCCTGTACTAAGTTACTGACAAAGGCTCTTTCTCCTCACTGTCTCTCTCTCTCTCTCATATACACCAATAATTCTTGGCCATTCTCTGAAGCAGTGGCTGTTTTCCCCTGGGAAGATGATGTTATGATTTGATGTAAACAAGAAAATTGTGTGTTGTAGCATTAGAGAGGGTTTTCTTATGACAGATAAATTTAGTTGAATAATTTGATAGAGATTATCATGATGCCTTGCAAATAATATTTAAAATTGCTCTTACAGGGCAATATTTTAAATCAAGATTGTTTCATCAACTTGCTCTACTTCTGTTAGTAGGCCATCTCAGTTTATTGAGAACAAGCTAAAGGGGGGCTTCTTTTCTATTTCGTCTTTTGCCCTGGCATGGAGTGCAACATTGGAGTTAGTTCCTAGCTTTTTTTATATATTAGTAATATTAGTATTCAATAGTGGTACTACTGTGGTTTTCTTTGTAACAAGGTGGAAAATGTAACCTTTCTGTTCATAGTCCTTTGTTGACTAACAGCAGTTTAAGCTCTGAAACATTTTGGTAAGATGCAGCTTAAAGTTCTTGGAAAAGCAGAACATTGCCCCCTTCCTCCCCAGGGACTATTTTGAGCTAAAAGATAATGATGTGGAGGGGGCAGATTGGCTACTGTTCCAAGTATAGCAAACCAAGTCAAAACACTGTACTAATGAAACATGTTGGATTGATGCAGTTGTTGATATTTTGGTCATTGTGTGATTGTTGATAGATAGAGCCAGAATTAGGGATACTACATGTATAACAGTACAAAAACTTTGGTGTTTTATGAATTTTCTTTTTTTTTTGACTGAGACCCTTATTCTTTCTTGGATGATATTGTCTCTTCTGGCTGGCACTGATTCTTCAGGATCTTTCAGGCAGAGGTCTTTCCTGGCCCTCTAAGAGTTGCTAGGCTTTCAAACTTAGTCATAACTTCTTCCCTTTCTATTGGAATCACAAGCCACTTGCAGAACTGTTGGGAACCAAGTTTCTAGGATCATGAAGGCTCACTTCAGTGTTTCTAAATGTTTATGTTAGAAAACGTACAGAACAGATACACCTATCTTTGTGGTAGGATTAAAAATAAAAAAATGTTCGCTTTTTAAAAAACTGAATGTCAAAAGTGGTTGCATGATATAAGACAAAGGGAGGTAAAGTGGAGAAAGAGGAAGGTGGAAGTAGCAACAATGTCACTTGCAGAGACAGATGGAATCAGCTTAGTCTTAATCAGCTCTTACCAAGGGCAGCATATGATTAATCGATTCCACTGGTTTGCTATTGGGACACATTCTTATTGGTCTGATAAATTTTCTTATAGTTTCTCCTTTGGCCAGACGAGTGGCCCATGCTGTATGAGAGTTCTGTGATTTAAAGTATACTTGTGGAATTAAGATACTCCTTAGAGTTGTTCATTTAGACTGTCATTTATATTTCCTGCTGATATATGGTAGTGAATGTGTTATTTTGCCCAAGTTTGAATAAATAATATACAAAGGGAAGTATATCTTCACACACCAGGAAGATGAGAATTCAATGCCACAAGGTGTGTTCATGGCCTTGGAAAAAGAGTGAAAAATGTTTTGAATGGGTCAGATCTAGCTATAATGATTAGCTATGATGATTGCCCCCCCAAATGCAGGATTCTTGAACAATGAACAGGAATTGTCATCATTCCCCTGCTCCACTGATGAACTTCCTTCTGGAGGCAGCTGGATGACCCAAATCAAAAAGTATTCTGGGCAGAAGGAAGGCTAGCTAAATTCAGCAAATATGTAAACATCTTATAATTCTAAGTTCATGTTTGATTCTAGAATTGATGTGGTTGTCATTTGATTCAGTTTTTTTCCTCTCCTTGTTCCTGTCTAGTATACCAGCATCTCTGAAGTCTACATAAATCACTGACCTTCGACATCCTAAGCCCCTGGCAATCTTTGAAGTAGGTGTTTTTGTTCTTGCTATGGTTACATTATCTTGAGTTGGCCCTTATTTAAATAATTTTTACAGATACATAAAGCCCAATTACTAGGGTCTGTCCACTAAACATACAGGGCTTCCAGTTCAATTTACTCCAATTGGAATGACACATGAACAAGAATGGAATGAAGGTCAGAGGAAAGTTGCTGGTGGCAAGGTGGGTGTTAAGGAGCAAAGGCCGGGCTGCTCTGTTAGAGAAGGCAAATGAGGCCATCTCCCTGTATCAGAGGCATAAACAATTGCATAAGCATAGATTGAAAAGATGTTACTTAGGGCAATATGAAAGAATGATTGCAAAATCAAAAGCAACCGTTGTTAACAAAATTAGGCATGAGAAGCTGTTGGGCATGCAACTGCTTTGCACATAATGTTGTATGAAACATGAAACATTTTTCTAAAATACATTATTTAATATAGTGAACAGAATATTGAAACTTAAGTATATTGCAGTAACAACACACAAAGAATTCCATACAATGAATAATAAAATGTTGCTGTCAATGTAAGATTCCCAGCTAACTGGTAGGACATCTAACTTTGGTTTTATTTGGGACTTTACCTTTGCTTTATTTTTTCTTTTTGATACTGTTCTGGATTTAGCTATTTATTATTATCATTTGGGGGAGTTATTTGATGTTCTGTGCTGCCCAGAGTTATAAGTACTGTCAAATAAAATTAACATGGTGTGATAAAAAAAAAAGGGGGGGAATCAAATGTAGATAATAAAGCATTCTGGAACAGTATTCAAAAACATCAAATGAGTTCATTGACTGATGATATAGTAGGAACCAGAACCTCAAGGATATAAAACAGAACCACTGTAGGTATTCAGTTGTCCATTGAAGTGCTGCAGACAATAAGGTTTACTTGTATTCTCCATACATCCATTTAAGCATTCTACTCATTGAGCAGAATATGTTTTTTGCAATATTACTTTTCATTATTTTGGTTTTGAAATAGTGATACTGAAACGATGTTTTTCAAAGTGCCATTTTATATATTGACTGATGGCTATTTTTTCATCCTGTTGGGAGAGCATAGATTTCTCTGTTGTCTATTGCATTCTCTGTTGTCTGTTGCATAATTGAGGGATTTCCCCCAACATTATGGTTGCATGGCAGGTTCTGCAGAGTGAGCAGAACTTTTTTGCAGAGTGAACAGAGGTTTTTAGAGGAGAGGTGCCACTGTGTCCTTCTCTTGAAGACTTTGAAGTAGCAGTTTGTTCTCATCCCATGAGATCAGTTAGGCAGTGTGTGAAGTTTCCTTACACTGAATTGGATCTTTGCTTGACTGTCAGTATTGGTATTGTCTTCATGGCATGACAAGTATTTTGTTGGGGGTTTGGATACTGATTTTCCAGCTTTATGCTAGAGGTTAAAGTTAAAATCTTTTGTGTACAAAGCATATACTTGTCTATAGATAAGCAGGCCTGAATCGCTACCAAACTGCTGCAACTCTCTGGTTCTTGTGTGTGTTTGGGAAGATTACTCCACACACCATTTAAACTTTAATCAAGCAAACTAGCTTTAGCATAACTTGGCACCTCTTGTTAATCATTGGAGAACATTTAATAATCATTCTCATAGGAGTTTTATGAGTCTTGAGAACAACCTCAAGTTGGCAGTCACTTGGAAGGAAAGCTGTTTTGGATTGTGTTAAACTGTAGAAGACTGAGCAGCTGTTTACAGATGTTTGGCAGCCACATTCTTAACAGCTGTTCACATACAATCAACAATGTACAGCCCTATAGATAATAGCCTATTCTTTATAGCTCAGTTTTTCCCCCTCAGAAGGAATGGATATGGCTATGATACACTTGATATGTAATTATTTTTTAAATTACAGTAACATACAAAAAGGACATTGCATCATATCTCAAGTAAAATAAGAAATAAAACCTCTGTTTTTTAAAAACTATATATTGCTTCCCATATCAACATTCATTTCTTCTTGGCCTTGTGGGACTTTAATCCATACTACTCCCCTGAATTTTGTTCTTTGAACATAACTTTTTAAACATCTTGCCAGCATACAAAACAATTTCTGAAGATGCAGTTAAACTTAAGGAATTCTCATTTAATTATAATAGTAATGCCAATGGATACTGGTGCCTGATGTCTGTTAATCATTCTCACATTTTTATTTCAACAGAGTTTTATTTTGTGCAGTAATATTTTGTTTAATTTCCTTCTTTCCTCTCTGTCAGCAGTCCAAGAAGTATGCAAGCCTAACCAGTTTGAATAACAGGATTTTTTCCAAATACAAGTAGTTTCTTATGTTTTCAGTCTTTTGCAATTTGTGAATTTTTCTTTTAAAATGTGAAGCTAGATAAGATTGTAGATAGTTTTAGAAGAAAGGCATAACTACACCATCCCTTAAGCAGGAAATAGCTATGATCTGACATTATTTTATCTCGTCTAACTTTCCTACCCTTGTGGGTTTATGGATCTCCATTTCTACTATAAATATGTCTAGATATCTAGCTGCTATAAAGTAAATATTAGGGGTATCTTGGATATGACTGAAGCCATACCCCAGTGTGGGCAAGGATAATGTGAACTCAGTTTTCAGGGATATAAATAGATGGACCAGTGTGAATTTAGTATATTCTGCTTCAAGTCCTCAGTGTGGTATAGATCTTGGTCTGTTTTTCTAGTTCTGTGGAGTCTGTTGAAGGAGGAGTTATGATGCCAATAGACTCTGGAATTGCTATTTTATTTTAAAAAAACATGTGTTAGAGTTAATTAAATTAAATTAAATTAATTAAAGTGATTTGTTTTGGTCAGAACACACTTGCTCATTTCAACCATCTTGGATAGAAGATGTCTTGGTATAGGTAGTTCTTGAGTTATGACGGCAATTGGGACTGGAATTTCTGTTGCTAAGCAATGCGGTCATAAGGCTCGATGTCATGTGACTGCATTGCTTAGTGATGGCAATCCTGGCACCCTCTGTTGCTTTCGTTAGCCAAAGACCCATCCTGATTAAAGCCATTCCCGGCTTGGTCCCTCCCAGCCCTGAGCCTCGGTTTTTCCAAGGTAAGGGATTGCCTCACCTTCAACTCCCCCCAACCACCTATTTCCCCTCCATATCTGCCCTTTAGGGCACCATGCAGGGTGGCAAGCAGCCCCAGAACTGTGCAGCTCTGGGGCTGCTTGCCACACTGGGGCTCGGGCCGCAAGAAGCCCCTGAGCTGCAATGCAGTGTGAAGCTGCAGTTGCCCTAGGAAGCCCCAGCTGCCCCTGCCCAACCCAGCAGCATGGCACGAAGCCCCAACCCAGCAGCATGGTACGAAGCCCCAGCCCAGCCCAGCCCAGCCCAGCCCAGCAGTGTGGCACAAAGCTGCAGTTGCCCCTGGAACCCCCAGCCTGCTATTTGTTCTTTCTCTCTGATCCTGGAGACGTGCATTTCTCTGCTCCTTTGTCTCTTCCTCTGTCCTTCTTTTGTGCCTGTTCTTGTCATACTGGAGATACGCGTGCCTCTCCTCCTCTGTCTCTCCTTCTCTCATGTTATTTGTCCTGACTGTTTGATCCTGTAGTCGTGTGGTGTTGGCTTCATCTAATTCTTGTTCTCTCCTCCTCCTTGCCCCTTCCAGATGATGTTTGGTGTCATCTCTTGACCGTGATATCTCCCCTCTTTTTCCACGTAGCATAATTAGGCTGGCCATATTTTTTTTAGCCCAAAGCTGGATGGTCCTGTCATCATGTAAGAAGACTGTACATCATAAATAGAAGAATAATTGTAGTGGCAAACAAACTTCAGTGATAAGTCAAAATTTACTTACCTAAAGAGATAAACAGAATGACCATGGGCAGGCAAAAAAGCAGTGGAAGCAGGAGCAATTTCTGACTTCCTGCTGGCTTCCCCATTCACTTTGCTTGTGGGAAGCTGGCAGGGAGTGTCGGAAATCACAATCACGTAACCGCATTGGCACTGCAGCGGCCACAACTTTGGCAATTCAGCTGGTCTGAAGATCCTTGAAATTTCAATTCCATGGGAGTAATGGGTCCCAGATTTTGTACACATTCTTTAAGTTAGCAGATTTGAGGTCTGATTCACTTTGATTCAAAAATTGTTGTGCAGCATTTCAGCTAATTGAAGGTTACAAACAGACAAACACTGAGAGTTTTAGTAGTATACAGATAGTAGATAGATAGATAGATAGATAGATAGATAGATAGATAGATAGATAGATAGATAGATGAGAGAAGTACTATTTTGCACATCTCTTCTCAGCATTTTCTGTATTAACTAATATTATGATAATTAAACCTCTGTCATTTCAAATTGTTTTGGGTAATAGAGATAAATGCATCAAATAAACACTAAACACCAATGAGATGGATAGAATTAGGAACTTTCTGGACTTTCAAATTATGCTGAGAAACTTGCAGAACCAAGAGATACCTTTATTTCAATTAAAGGTTATTATAATGGTAAAAATTATCAAAACAGATTCGAAAACACATTTTATTGGAACTTATGTGAAAAGGCAATATATCTCCTTTATATAAAATCCAAACAATTCATGGTGATAAAGAGATTAGTCATGCAAATCATTGTTATAAACTTATGGAGGAATGTTTCTGGCAGAACATCCAGAATATTGTTTAAAATTTATATTGAAAGCTATTCACAATTTGTGATTACTATACTAGCTTTCCTTACAAGAAGTAAAAAAAAAAAAAAAAGTTACTAATAAAATGCTGCCCAGAGCTACTATGAATTGGGTGGCCTCCTCCCCTTCTCCCCCTCCCCCTTTTCTCTTTCTTTTTGGCATGGAGAAGGATTTCACCATGTAAACCGGTTACATACTGAAATGGTAAAAGGAAAGTGTATCTTCACATTTATTTGGGAGAATAACTTAGAATATAACCCTGAGTTGAGCCATCAAGATGCTCAGGCAATGCTAGTGCGTCATACTGTATATGCAAGCCAGCAGTAGGCATGGGAGGAACCAGA